AATCGCGAACTACTTAAACTGGAACAAAAATTAACGACGCGAATGTACTCTCGCGCGAACAAATACAGCTGCGCGCCCAGGGTTGGAGGAAGTAGATTGGATAAGTAGGAGGAGGTGGAGAGGAAGAGGAGGAGGCTCGGCGGAGGACGGATGGTGGCTCTTCGCGGAATGGCTCGGTCGCAAGAAAAGATAAACGAAAGTCAGGAGCTGACTACACAGGACGATATCGTACTCTCCATTCCGCCTCGTCGGGACGACGAGGAGAAACTCGGACGGAAACGACGAAAGAACGGAATCCCGATTCGTGAGAACGGAAAGGTGCGGGGTGGGGAGGGTGAGGGCGGGCGGAGGGAAACCGGGGGATTCGCGTCGCGGGAGGAAACTTTAAACTTCGCTATCTTTCCACCGCGAGGCAGAAGCGCGCGCTACGGGACCATACGTGTGAGCTTCCGCGATATCGATCACCCTACAGCAAATCTCCGGCATAGGGTGTCTTCGACGATGGTTTCGATCGTGCCTTAATGGAACTCGTTCGATGTAAACGATGTTAAAAAAAGAAAGAGAAAAAGATAAATGCGTCGCGAGCCTGCTTTCGAACAATATTACAGGAGACGGTGCACCTTATATCCTGCGGATAATCCGATTATAAATTTTTTCGTCGAACGATTCACCATATAACGGATCGATCCTGCCTTGCTTTTTCGATCATTTTCATTTTATAAACGATATTACGAATAGGATAAAAAAGAATGAGAACGCGGCATAATTCTACCTCCGAGCAATATTCCGAGGAAACGGGGAACTTTATATTCCACCGACAATTCGGCTATATATTTTTTAGGGGAATTATTCACGGTATAACGAATCAATCATTTCCTCTTTTTCAGGGAATTTTTCGCTTTTGAAACGGAATAGAAAGGATTACGAGTGAACATTTCTACGAGATATGTAACACGGAGTTTATTTCTCGCGCTATTCAACGTTAATGTAGATCTCCTTGAATCGTTAAATATTCTTCATTTGATTTCAAATGAATTTCCTAAATCCCCAATATCGGAATTTTTTAAATAAAGAGATCAGATTATACGTGAGAAGTAGCGATATTGTGCGCATTAATATGAGATTGCATCGTAAGGCAATTCGACGTGAGATTTCAAGATGGGGCTGAGAGAACAAAGACGGTACCGACTACTTCAAAAATTTCTTCTGTCTTAACGAGGTATAACGTTTAACGAGTCCTTTCCGAGCTTCGCCTCTTACCGCAAGTAAATCGAAGATAAACCCCGGGGTTTAACCGGGGCTTAACCTATGCTAAGCGCGCTAAACCTCCCAACCTAGACTCGACCACATGGATGGCTGGTTACATAGATTACAATGTAGTTTAATTGAGTTAGCGCCCTAATGGCTGCAAGCATCCACGTCTATCCATTGTTCTCTTTTCATTCCTATTTATTTATTATCATTAAATGTTTTATCTTATTGAAAAAACATCGTTGTTAGGACTAACTTTTCAATCAAGGAACGTAATACCGCAAGGCGAGAAAATAGAAGATGCAAAAGCAAAAAGTTTACAGAACCAAGAGATTAACCTCGAAAATAGGATAAGGCCGAAATTTCGTTTACACATACACGATGAGAACACGCACATATATATACAGGATATCCCAATATAAGAGAACACCTAAAAGTCTTCTTTGTTTTTAATGATACGAGAAATATTTAGAGCACAATTGAGTGGTTTCGAAGGATGAATATTGTGGGAGGAAAATTATTTCTTACGGTCATTTTTCCTATTTTTTTTAAGACCCCCATGTTTAGGTCTCCCATTTATATTCAGATATTTAGGTGTTTTCCTTATATACTTAAGCACCCTCTATATTTGCAGTTTATGAAAATTTAAAGAAGGATAACAAAATTTGGCAAGTATAATGTTAAATCACTGAGATATCGAAAACGGGGAGCCTATTTTTCCGAAGTAAACGCTTGAAATCACGCCTTAAATGTTCGTATTTCATCAGAATGGAGATTATTTCTGATTGAATCCTCGGAGCCGTTTGGAAATCCTTAAATATGAATTTAAGACGACTCGAAAGTGTGCTCGTAAATTGCGGATTGCGGACATCTGTACGCTTCGCTTCGATCGCCCGTACGTCTCAGTCGCGCGTGCCGCGCGTGACTTCTCGCCGATACACATCGGTTAATCGTGCATAACTAATTTGAGAATCTACCTGCTGCCGTTGTGAAATCGTTCGGTCAAAAAAATACGACGAACTTACGACGTTGGATGGGCGGGAGGGAGGCCTTCGGCGACGGAACGACGCCGCAGCGCGCCGTGTCGAGCTCTCTGCCGAGATTATAAAACAATTGAATAAATCTACCCCCTCGGGCGGCGTCCAAGAAAGAGAAACGTCCCGGGAGGGGTAGACAGAAGTGGAAGAAGAAATCTTCAAGCCCCCCCCTCTCCGCCCTCCCCCATGGCCCAACCCCCGCTAACTTCTTCGAGATTCAAATGGCCTCGTTTCAAATCGATTTCGAATTATCTTCGGCGAGCGGATTCTGCCGGAACGGGAGAAAAGGGGGAGGGGGGTCCTTCGCCGGTGTAATGGAGGAAACGGTAGTAAGGTAAAGAGGTATGAGGACGAAATGGCTGGGGAACGAGTGCGGGCGGACAGGGGAGATGGGGGAAGAGAGGGAAAGAGAGAGAGAAGAGAAAAGAGGGGTACGGTAGAGTGAAAAACTTAAAGGACTTTTACTGGCCGAGAAAATGTTTGCCGGGCGAGACAAAGACATCCGGACTGTCGTTTCCTCTCTGATTAAATAGGCAGGACCGCTTTTAGGGGCGACGTCCTATGGACATACGCCGCGACTCTCAGATATTCTTTTTATAATCTCGCCGCGCGCTTTCGCATCCTTCCCCCTTTTCCGTTTCAAACTTTTACGGCGTACTCCGCGAGAGGAAAATATCGGAGAACGGCGAAGTAAGGCGTCACTTATAAACGTTATATCGGGAAAAAAAGTTCTATGCAGAAACGAGAGAGAAAGAGAGAAAAATATGAGATCGAGATTGATAAAACGAGGGGCAGATAACTCGGAATGATATTTCATCGATTCTTTACAAAGAGCCGGCTGTTACTTCTAAATCGCGAACTAATTTTTCAAGCGCAAAAACATAAAACGCAAAAAGTCGGCGACGAACAACTCTCCCTTTTCTTTTCTTTATTCGAACAGAATTCTGCGAATATTTCGTCGTACTGAAAAACTGCCACGCGGAACTGTCAAAGAACACTTTTTCACTCGGAATTTTGAGAATAATTTACGATAATTAATTAATTAATGTCGATCGAATATTCTTCACAAATAATCCGTCACGTTGAGATTCTTTTTCACCGTGCCGATGATTTTTCGTACGCGAACGGCACAGAGAGAAAATAATTCCCTTTAATCGCAATTTTTAATAATTCAATAATAATAGCCAACGAGAAAATCGCGTTATATAAGAATCAAAAGTCTCGCCGGCGAGCAGTGTGCAAATTGGCTGGTCTAAACGGCGGTCTGTGAAACTTCCGAAGGCCGCCTCTCGCCTGATTAAGCGGTTCGGCCTGCATTTGGCAACGGCACCGGCGCAGTATGCATCGACTCGAGCTACTTGTTGGTTCTGACGTGCGGCTGTTCTACTCCCGAGTTTGTACCCGCTCCGCCAGTTTCAACGGAGTGCGATATTAGCACTACATTTGTCCCGCTCCTCATTTTGTTGCGCGAAAAGAGGCGATGGGAAAAGGGAAAAGGCAAAGGAAGGCAGAAAAAGGGGACAAAGTGAGACACAATGGAGCTCACTCTTTCGGGGCTAATTAAAGCGACGAATTTGTTACGACGACGTGTAACCGAGCGTGACTCCTTTCGTGACTAATAAAATGATTCATTTGACTTACGCGTGCGCGTCTCGCGTACGTCTTTGAGAGCGAACAACGCGGGATACATTAGGGTGACACTGGATCTTTGAAATAACCGAAAATCCATTTTTGGATTTTAATTACGTATTTGATTTTATTTATATTCGTCGAATGACAAATGATTTTTATCGCATCGATCTTTTCGCGTGTTCAAAGGTCCAGTGTCCCCTTAACACGTTCATTGCCAAGCTGAAAATTGGAATTTCGTTTTTTTTATTTTTTTTATTTAGTTTTTATCGTGCTCAAAATAAGTCAATATATTATTTGTATGCTTTTATTATTATGTAAATAGGATTTATGTACTCTAAATATCTATTACGCGCGATAACGCGTGATCGGCCGTTTGGTGAGAACTCGCATCATGCGATATCGCGTGATTGGCAATGAACGTGTTAACATGTTAGACAACCCCGATATATACAGGACGTCGCGAATGCGCATCAGAGAGAAACTCTTCGACCAGTCGAAAGCATCTCTCTGCATTTCGAAGCGCGTTAACGTAAATGTCACCGGTATACAGTCCGTTTCACGGAAGCTTTTCATAACCCGTTAACTCGTTCGAGTTGTAACGATGTTATATCGCGAGCATAACGGTGTGCGCATTACAGGCTATGCCGCTTTCTCTTTCCCTCCCCCTCTCGCCATCGTAATCTTATAAGATACCCTCCCTTTGTCTTCCGCAGATATTCGTGGCCGTAAAAGCACACCGGTCCACGGTCCACGAAAAAAGGAACGACGCGATAACGAACGAACGGCCATAACAGGCAGAAAGACATCGTTGCGAGACGCGCGCGGCCGCACGCTTATCTCTAATTTATCGCGAAATTAGAAAGTAACGAGAAATGAAATCGCGCGGCTGATCTCATAGCGAACGAGTCTCCACGCGCGAAAAGGAAAAGGGAGGAAAGGACGGGAGAGAGAATCGCCGACAGCTATTTGATAAGTGCGTACGCATCGCGCTGCTAACAATGTCCCGCCGGAATCACACCCACCCCACTCTATGTTTGCCGATGTCACGCGAAACCTGAAATCCGAAATTTCTCGTTGCAGAACCAAATTCTAGCGCACAACACGTCGGCGAGGATCATCTGGTCGAATCAGAGCCTCGTCCTGCAGAGCGTGACAAGAAGCAGCGCCGGTCGTTACGTCTGCGCGGCGACGAACGCGCTCAACGAGACGCGCAGCGAACCGCTGCACTTTCGAGTCAAATGTAAGTTCGAATTTAATTAAATACTACTAGATAGAACAATAAAGTAAAGCGTCAACTTGTAAATGTTATATCCGGGAAATTTCTAAAAAGATTTCTGAATTTCTCAAAAGATGTCGAGAAAGAAAGCAATGAAATAGAATCGAGATTAATATGTATGTATATATATATTTTTTTATTTACTTTTAATTTTACCCGAAACTTGTTATAACAAATAATATATAGAATCTCGAGTAAAAACGCATTTTTTCGAATAAATATGAAGCTGTATTGTTTGATTTCTTAAGAAGAACAAATTGTTACAAATTAGGATACTGTCACTAATTGCAACACATTAATCTTAATAAATTCATGAAGATCTTAATTAAGGATGTATAGAGATATTTACAGAACTAATTCATAAATTTGTGAAACATTCTAAAAACGCACAATAGTACAAGGACCATTATAAAAATTGCGATTCTTCCCTGATTTATTCGCACGGAATTCCGGCGTGATCAAGAAATACGGGGGGCGTTTTCGAGATCCACGAATCCCGTTATTCGAGTAAACGAGTTCCAACTATCGATCGTTGCGGTAACATTCGTCGGTCTTATTCGGTACACCAAGCGACGTAATTCAGACCGTTTCGCGCATATAAATAATTTATCGGTCGCGCAGCGAGCTGCTACACTTTAAAGTCAAATATAATTTTAATTTAACTAGATCACACGCGCGCGCGGGAGTCGCGAAATAAGACGTCATTGATAAAAGTTATATCAAGGGGGAATTCTACAGAGACGAGAGAGCCGGGAAATACGAAATCGGAATTAATTTACGAATGGACAAACATCCCGGGATGATATTTCGTTTATTGCGAGCGGAGGAGCTGACTCTGGTATTCCGTCTGGTTAGCGATCTAATGAATAATTAATAAATGCAGAGAGATACTTCTCGAGAATTAGAAACTCATATAGAGGGATATTTTTAGAATCGAATGAATTAATAAAGCACATAGAACGCAGAATATGGCCACGGATACGCATGAAGATTTTCCCTTTCTTTTTTTATTCGCGCGCGAAATTCTGACGCACGATCTAGACACACGGGTGGCGTTTTCGCGATTCGCCAACGATCTCGTTATTCGTGCTCGAGCAAACGAATCCGAGCTACCGATCGCCGCGGAAACATCCATCAGTCACGAGGCTGATACGAAGTTCGGGATATAAAGCGACGTCGCTCAAACTGGTTCTTCGCGTGTAAATAATTTATCGCGACGCGCCCCGCTTATTTCGGTCATGGAGGACACCAATTTCCATTTTCGACGGACAGACGCGTGGAGTACACCCTACCTTGTTCGTATTGGCATATACGCGCGCGTATTTTCGCGTGTACATTAACTGGCACGTCGCGTGTCCCTGGGATCGCGTTCAACGTGAATACTTCAGGAGTGCTTAGCCCCGGTTACATTTTTGATATCCAATTCCCAGGTTATGGCCGACTGTCAACGCGCAAGACACTCCGGTGGCCTACGAGCTCGCGAAAGAAGTGATTCGTAGGATACTTTGGGGGNGGGGGGGGGGGGACACGGGTCTTGTCCCTTGAAAATTCTCGAGTGCGCGAATTATCAAAGCGACCTCCGTCCACACGAACGAGATTTTTGACGAGAAAAAAAGGCACGGTAGGTGCCACGAGCGCGTCCCTTGTAGATTTGACGAAGGTATCCGTGAAAAATCAACGGATTCTCGGGAATTTCGGGAAGATTTTCAGGTATGTAAAATCGAAAATTGAGAAGCACGGATTGTAAGAATCTATTCGTATGCGCGAGCAAAATAATCACGACTGCTGTAAACTTTCTATCTCTCGACGAAGGCAACCTGATATAATCGCGCGATGGAAATGTAAATATAAAATACCAAAAACTGGAAGTCATAGAGATTATCAAATTCATCGACGGAAAATGGAGAATCGTCTAAAGACCGCAGCGATCGCGAATTTACTAGCAGGAGCGAAATAACCGTGAGTTTTCCGCGTGATGTATTTCTAGCGTGTAATTACTTCGCAATATAATGTGCGAAATTTCAGGGCCGAAATTTATCCGGCATCGTTCGGACAATTGTGTCAAAAAATTGAACCGCCGAGCGAAGCAATGGTGTAAGTCGGTAATGAGTCGTCAACTTTAAGGACAACGATGCTTCATTAATATAACAATAGACGTCGAGTCTTTTATTTCTCTGGAATTCTTTATAAACGTAAGACGGATACGTGCGCTATGTAAAAACAGCTTTCGTGTAAAACGTAGTAACAATAGATTTTGCAATAATTCCGCACCTTTAGTTTCATTCATCAAAATATGATCGATTACTTGATATCGGATATTTTTCGCGAACTCCCTTTTGTCTCTTAAAAATAGAAAAATGCAACTCAGGCCACTATACTTCGCTCAGCGGTTCGTATTCACAAACACGCAAAAGCTAACATGCAATGTAAATCGCATTGATTTTTATGGAAGTCCGGAAACAAACCCACCACCACAACTCGAAATCTTTATATCCATCACCTGAAATTTTTATGTCCATTTTTCTCTCACTCACCTAAATGTGAGTTCAGGGCCGGCCGGTGCTGCTGCGTTCGATGCTGGAACAAAAATGATATTTCGCTGATTAGATTTACGAGTTTTGACTCAACGAACGAATGTAGGATACGAGTGTATTAGCCCTTTGCGATCGCAATGCAAGTCATTCGAACTACTATCTCACGGCTTTTGATTGCAAAGGGTCGAATAGAGGAGTACAGAGAATTTGGACTAAGCATACCTTCGAGCCGATCCCGCTCGGCCCGAACCGGATCCTCCGGTGCTGCATCTGCCATCCATCCGGATCATTCCGCTCAATTCAAATAAATTCGCCGGTGTTGTATCCGCCACACAGTCGCGAACTCCGCCAGATTTGGAACAAAGAAGTAATTTCTTATTTGGGCACAACAATAGAAAGACTACTCAGTGCAAATTGAAAATTCCGATCGTATTTTTCTTTCAAACTTAGTAAAAACGGAGATATATTTCTAGTCACCCTTTAAATTCCGCGTCGCTTCTACCGTTCGCGATTATTCCGATGCGATGATTGTTGTGCGAATATTATACATTTTTCTTCTTTTTTGTTGTACGACTTCCGATTATTTTGACATAAAAATGAAAACAGCAAGCAACGTTGTCTAACCTGCCAGTTCGTTCGCGTCGAAACATCCCAAAAAAAACAAATTGATAAAAGAGGTCTTAAAGAACGTCAGAAAGACGTTCTATTTTTATTAGATATATCTTTCAGACGTTTTTAAGAAATCCTTTCAAAATTTGTTCTGCGCTATTAAACTATCAGCTAACGGAATATAAATGATAAAAGCGTTAATGAGAATTTTACTCTATTGTCATTAGAAATAAAGAATTAAAATACGAAGCCAAAATAAGCTCAATTTATCGCGATTGTCGCACAGAATAAAACAAAATAGACAAATACAGTAATAACTGGCTGATTTGTGATGTCACACACGTCACGAGACATTTAATTTAATTCGTGAAAGCATTTCAGTCTGACGGCAATCGACACACGCGAAGGCATTTAATACGAAACGCTCGTAACACTTGCGAGAGAGACTGTCGTATGAGTTCCAATCTTGGAAACAAGTATATAGCATGGTCTTCAATATTTAACTATGGATCGTGACGACCTCGTAAAGATAGAGGAAATAGTCTCGGATAAGCAAGCACCTATCTCTCTCCCCCTCAATGCCGGCGAATCGAAATCGAGATCGTTTTGCGGTTTATTTTCTTGGATATTACAGCGTTGTTGGGAAAGAGGAAATAACGTTTGGTTTACGCTATCGACACCGTCGTAATATATAATGGAATTTAGAGCAGTCGGAATACCAGCACCGAGTAAATTTAAAGGAGACGAGGCAAAGGTAGCCTCGAGCACGACTACCGTCGTGCGATTCAATACGTGTCCGAATCAGATGTCGTAGAAAACGAGCAAGTGTCACGAGGCTCGCGATGTTACGTCAATTTGGACCGTTTAATCTGTAATTAAATGCACGTGCATCCACGAAAGAGAGAGAGAGAAAGAGAGAGAGGGGGAAAAATAAAAAGACAAAAATCGACGAGCGATATTAATTAACGATCGCAATCAGATTGTTTTTTTTTGTTGTCTCTTGACATATAAATGTTAATTAAATTTTACACGCTGATACGGATTAAAAAACCACGCCCGACACTCGAACATATTACAATTAAAAATATTGCAAACGCGTGAAACAAGAATTAAGAGAGAAAGAGAGAGAGAGAGAGAGAGAGAGAGAGAAAGGAGGGAAACGATAAGCCTATAAAGCGCGTACAGTGCACGACAATTAAATAGAATATTAAATCGTAAAATGCTCATATCTTCGCGATGATGCTACATTATGGTCGCCATCGAGAATTAATATCAATTACCTGTTTTGCGATCGAATTACAATAGAAATCGTGTAGCAATTACGAGCGTAATAAAGCTGCAAAGTCCGCGCAATAAAAGTGACACGCACCGAACGCGATACGAGTTTAATAATGAATACTTTCAACGGCACAGTTCACAGATACCTACGTACTTTCAGGTATATACGAGCGCGGATTTAATCCATTTCATATTCTCCCGGTCGCGTTCACCGAACAACGTAAATTGTTAGGATTTTATTGACCCCGTCTCGACAGCCGGCTCTGAAAATACCGACGGCGATATTTCTTTTAAATTACTAAATCGTCGCAGACGGTACTGACGTATAGCGATTATTAAATGCACCGAAATCATGTTGATTAATAATTTCGTGTAACGTATACGCAAATAGTGTCGGACTGTTTTATTTATTCGTCGGGGCTCGAGGAACGATTAATTATTTATCGGTAGGGTCGAGCGAAATATTTTATACTGCTCTGAGAATATCGGGAGATCAGACGGGAAAGAGATTTCTTCATTTCGCGATCGGAGAAAATCGCTGGAGAGAGAGACCGAAAAAGGGAGATAGATAGATAAAGAGAGAGAGAGAGAGAGAGAGTAAGAGAGATAGAACGAGAGCGAGATAAAGCGAATTGCAGAGCAACGGACAGGATTCGTGTACCACCGTCTTTCTCGGCACCGTTATCTATACACGGGCGGAAGGTTTCTCGGCTGACGATATGCCAATGATGGCCCACATATCGCAGCTGCATCTGGGAAAGCACACACGCGTACACACACACACACACATATACACACAGGCGCGTGCACATATGTGCACAAATGACAGCGATATCGTACGTACGACTTTCCTGACACACCCCGGCGTTTTGTCACGATGGGGGCCTCCTCGTCGTGTAACCGGCCGGAATCGTTTTATCAACGCGAGTTATGCAAAAAGGTCTACCCTGCCCTTCGTCTTTCGGGCGATATATATTTGTCCCAATTTATCTGCGTTTATCTCCGCCTCTCTTTGTCTCCATTCGTCTCGCGCCTCCGTGAAGCTAAGGCCGGGAAGGGAGGAACAAATACGGGGATACGTGTTATCGCGCAACCGATCGCGGACATTTCCACCGCTAACGGTGAAATTGATATTACGCAATAATAAGTAGGAAGATCGTAGGACTATCGATGCGATGATCGGGCGTGTGCGGTTCCCTTGTCTCGCGCGGGAAATGTGCAGAATAAATACGTCTTACGGGAAAGAAACGGCAACTTTTATCATTTGGAAGAATAATGGAGAAGGATGTTTCCCTCTTTCTCCGCGCAAGATGATTTTCAACGAGGGTCCTTTCGCGATCGAGAAACCTGTTTCTAATCACAATTGTAATTCGCGTACTTAATAATCTTGTCTTGCGACTAATTCTCTCGGAAAGATCATTTTGTTCAATAATTTAATTCGACCGGAACGCGAGCTTCTCGTCCAGTAAAATTGACTCCGGTGCCCCCCATGATATGCACGTTTCAAGCGAAGAATCGCGTTTCCGCCGAACTGAATTTTAATTCTGTAACTTCGCAACCTCGAGTCCCAATCGATTTGGACGATAACGTTTAAGTTAACAATTTAACAATGTAACGTAACGGAAGGGGCGAAGTGTAAATTTGCCGCCCGATAAAATACGAGGCGTTTTCGACCGTTCTATCTGATGATGGCGCAGATGATGGCAGAAGGTGGCATTACAGGCATCGTCGTATTACAAGCTCGGAAACGTCCGACGGGAAGAAGAGTGTCCCGTGTGGTTACACATACAAATCGATAATTCTGCTTGCAGTCGCGCCGGTGTGCAAGGACGACCGAATCGTGGTGGTCGGTGCATCGAGGGGCGAATCGCTCGACATCGCCTGTAGGGTCGAGGCCGATCCGCCGGCACACAATTTCCGCTGGAAATTCAACAACAGCGGCGAGACTCTGGAGGTAGCACCTGGTAGGTTCTCCATGGAGAAGTCGAGCGGCGTCAGCGTGCTGAGATACACGCCGACCACCGAGCTGGATTACGGTACCCTCTCGTGCTGGGCGGACAATCTCGTCGGTACTCAGTCGAGACCGTGTCTCTTCCAGCTGGTAGCAGCCGGTGAGTATATATGCGATAAACTACGGCGCTCCCCCGGGAGATTTATATCACGGGACGGGGATCTCGTGATTATTTTTAATTGCGCCGGGAAATTAATCAGATACGACGGGTAAAAAGGCGAGACAGCGCTTTCCAAACGATCGACGGTCCAATGGACCATCCATCGGTCGATTGGACGACCTGACGAGTGTCTGGCTAGTGAGACGAGAAAAGACGCAGCGGGATACCAATAAATGGCTAATTGGTATCTCGAATATATCTGCGAGACGAGAATAAACGCGATGTAATACGTCGGGCGAGAATAGAAAGCTCTCCGGGACGGCGCGATAAATCGTAAAATCCCGGCTTTCCTTACAGCGCTATTTTTAATCGCCTAAAGATGCCCACGTCCTCGGAGCCGTCGAAAAGCGACGACGATTAATACGTGAAACCTCAGCTCTGTTTTATGAGATCTCCCGGGGAGAGAGCGCGAACGAATCCCACGAATCATCGCCGCGAGTACAATGGGCGGCGAGCAATCATCGAGCGTTAAATCGGCATTAATCCCCAGGCGAATTTTTTCGCGTTTCCTCGTTTTCCCTTTTTTTTTTCGGTCCATGCGTGATCGACAGTGACGTTGACATGGCGATCGGCCGAGGACGTATTGACGTTGACGAATACGTCGAGTGCGAGCGGCACCGTGTGCGGCTCCCCTCCCCCCCCCTCATTCCCTCCTGAAAATAAAATCGCTCGTCGTCCTCCTCACTCGCTTTCGCGCTTCATCCGCTCCTTTGCCTCGCCATCGAAGCTCTCTCGCGGGTGCGCCCCGCCGTTACCAACGACCCGTAAACCCGATGGCACGAAATTATTTTTGTACCCCCCGCGTATGCGGCGTTATTGATGTCGGTTACCATTCTGCGAGGCATTCCGGCAAGGAATGCGCCCGCCGAGGCGTGTTCGCGAGCGGTAAAAAGGACGGGATTTCCGGGACAGGATTTCACGGACGGAGGAGGGATCGAGGGTCGCGTTAGACGTCAATCGTTACGCGTGTCGAATATAATTGGAATTCCGCGACGGTATTGAGAAATTTCAAACAGTCGGGCGCACAGAGTGCAGCGGAAGATCCCGTCTGGAAGAGAGAGAGAGATCAAATAAGAGGGATACGAGAGACTTAACGTTTAACTATGTAACTGCAAAATCGAATGCGGATAATTACGTTGTATGATATCGAACCGTTCGGGATACACGGGCGAATCGATTTGGAGCGCGACTTCTTCCCCCTCGTCCTCGGAAAGAGATTTATGCGCAATTCAGCCTCTCATCAGGACGAATGTGCATATCACCGCGGTTTCTCTGTTTTTCTTTCGCGCACTTTCAGCTCACGGTACACACGACTCGTGATTCGCGAGCTCGCTGACCCTTAACGGAGGCACTCGTGTGGAAAAACAGTACGTAAGCGAGACACACCGCTTCGCGCGACATCCAATTTGACAAGCTTAGACGAACGCCTTCTTTGCTCCGCAAAACTAATTTGAATCCCGTTTCAATCTCGACCGAACCCTTTTTATACCAGCGCGAGAGCGCGAGTTACGAATGTTTGCCCGCGGGGAATAGAGGTCCGGTTACGCGCAAAGAGACGTAAGAAGCGGAAGGAACGGGAAGAAGCGCGTAAAGTACAAACGAAGCGTCGTCGTCGACGACGATTCAATATACGTCCCGTAGATCCGCGGGTCGTAACGAGGAGGAGGAGGAGGACGACGACGACGACGATGATGAGCTTTGTGATTAACGTGGAACAGATGAAATACGGAGAGAATCTTGCGGCGTTTGGATGCGCGCAAAAAGAGCGCGAGAAATATCGAAAAAACGGGACGAACGGCTGAGTGGCGCGCGAAATCAGACGAGAGACAAAACGCGCCACCACCAGTCAAGCCAGCCAGCTATTCGCCATGCGGACGATTCGGCTGAAAACGAGCGAGATATTTGTCTTCTTCTTGTCGTGACCGTTGATTCCGGTGGAAACGGGATCGCGCAAGAATTGATTTCGGCCCCGAGAAAAAAAACGTAGCGCGTTCACATTCGACGAGGGGAGGGAGAGAGAGAGAAGAGCAGGACCGATAGGAAGGAATTTGCGGGGGTACGCGAGCCGTATCGCGCTCTCGGTACTAGGGCCAGACCAGCAAGCTCGGGGGTAGGGGGAGGGGGGAAGAAAAAGCGAACGGGACATCTCTCTGCGCCCATTACTATCCCGGTACACTAAATCTTTGCCACTCGTAGACACGCGAGCATTTTTCACTGGCGCGCCGAGCTTGATTTCCGAGAGACGCCGCTCTCGCTCGGTCGAATGGAGCCAACCTGTAGAGCCGCTCTTCGGCTCGTGTAGACGCGTGCAAAGTGTCCAGAAAATGTCACAGGACGAAAGTGGGCAGTGGCGTTCGTGCGCGTCGTCCGGCGAAGATTTAGTGCACAGGCGGGGGTGGCGTCGCCGTTGGAGCGAGAAAGAAAGTGTATGTATACACAGGGTGTTCCGCGAATAAAACGACGAACTTCGCCGGCATATTTGGGAAGCCGTTACGAACAGAAAATGTTATATAAACTATGAGGCAATTCAGCTTCTTTATCGAGATATGAACGGAAATACTGATAAGTCTAGTACTTATTATAGGTTAGTATTACTAGATAGTAAATACCGAACGTCTAGTTATCGCGTTGAGAGGCTCTGTAAGTTCTATAAACCTCTCCGTGCTATCAGAGACTTGATAGCATTGCTCAATGAAACTTTTCCCGATCGACAGATAAGAAGGGATGAATCTTCACGGTCGTTTGATCTATCCCCTTTAAATTTTTTTATGAAGTTGCGTAAAATCGAGAGTGTACTTAAGTGGAAAGCCTGGTACATGTTAGCAATTGTTAACAAGCATCAACGAAGCTGCTGTTAGTATTAACTATGATCTTGCCGATATTGTGTTAATGTGGTCAATAGAAGCACGTCTGTTTGCGTGCACATACACTGAGAAAAAATACTTGGGAATTTATTCGCAGTATATAAGATTTGTTTCACAGAAATACAGCTTGTTTCCGTGAAATGAACTTTATCTCCTACAAGTAAATTTTCAAATACTTCCTTCTTAGTGTAGAGACACGAAGTGTACATTTTTAATAATACATTTAAATATCAGTACAATATATCAATGTTAAATGCAATTTCGCCCAATTTCAAATCAATAATAAAGCCAAAGTTAAGCAGCTCGAACGCTTCGGATTATTTATGGTCAATACATTTTCCACATCTCGATGACAGAGCCGAAATAACCTATCGTTTATGTAACTTTTTTTTATTCGGAATGACTTTCCGAATACGCTGGCGAAGTTTCTCGATTTATTCACGGAACATCCTACTCGTATGTATGCGTGCGTATGCGGGTGTCTGTATATATGTAAAAAAGGGAAAGAATATACGTGTCACTTCGCATGTTGCATTTTCGTCGAAACCCCATTTTTAAACGGGACAGACCGCTCGGTTCATAAGTCGCGTAATATACGGGCCGTCGGCCCTCCGTCGCGTTCCGCTTCGCGTCGCATCGCCGACCCGTTTCCGTCTCTGACCGAGCCTTCCCCGTCGTTCCAGGCAAACCGTTCCCGGTGCGCAACTGCACCCTGGCGAACCAGACGTACACCAGCGTAGAGGTGAAATGCGTGCCGGGATACGACGGCGGGCTGCCGCAGAAATTCGTTCTGGAGGTTTATCACGGCGACATCGATTTCCTCGCCAGCAGCCAGCCCCTCTACAACGTCTCCAACCTGGACGAGCCGAGTTTCGCCCTCGCCGGGCTCGAGGCATCGGTCGAGGCCGGCGTCCACGTGGCGGTCTACGCGGTCAACGGCAAGGGTCGCAGCCAGCCCGTCATCCTCAGCGAGGTCACTTATCGCGACGCCGAGAAGCACACCGGTGAGTTCTCGATCCTTCATTCATCGGATCTTCTCTCTCGATTGATTATCTCCCTCTGTCTCACCTTATCCATCGGGGAAGAAAGAGATCTTACCTCTTTCGTAGGAATTTTACGATGAGCAATCGATAATATCGCGCGGATAACGCGAACGCAGCGACGTTCGCCGGGCTCTATCGGCTGTGTTATTGACACGTGGCGGATTGGCGCCTCGAGCGATGCCGTAATTACCATGCCGGAAGCGTGAAAGTTGCACCGGCCGCATCCCATGCGAATACAATTCCCGAACTCGTGTTCGCGCAAGGATACCTCTAACGAAGTCGGCCGCTGTTTGCGCCCTGCCAATGAACGTGCGCGCGCGGCCGGATCGGATTAACCCGACAGAATGAAGAACGACGTATCGTCTATCACTTAGTTCGGCGCGGGCTTGAATAAGAAGCGCCGTTGAGGAGAGGAGTCAACCGAGGCCGTTCGACCCCGCTCAATTTAACAGCGGGAGGATTCGCGATCGCCGGGAGATTAGCGGCAGGTGCCGGTCCAAAGTACACGGATCGACGCAAGGTCACCCGGCCGATGGCTCATGTGGCTCTTCCGAGGTCGGAGAAAGGGGAGGGGGATGAATCGGATAGAGCGGCTGTTCTCTCGAGGTGGGTGGTGTCAGCGACGTGAGGCGGTAAGCAAGACGGATCACCACCCTCGAGACAACGTTACGAGACGAACGCACCACACCCCATTAGGCGTCCGTATACATCGCGCCGCTTATCGTGGGGAAGCCGCCGGAAACGCGGCGGAATTAACTCCGAAAAGTACCGAAGTATCTCGCGTCGCGGCCGGGAGTCGACGTACCCGCGGCGTTATGTGCAGCAAATATTAACTTCCCGGCGAGTTTTAGCGAGTGCGCGCGTTGCACCGTGTGAAAATGCATGCACCTCCCGCGTCGGACGCGGGCTGTTCGTGCGACGCTTCCACGTTTACTCGGAAAAATTCGTCAACTTGACCGAACGATACGATTCGCACCTGCCGCTTTTCTGTTCTAAATACGTGACGCGGAAGACATGGGAAATTGTCCAACGTATTATTTAAGTAGCGGGACAGGCAAATTTTTGCAGGGAACCACTTTTCTCCCTTGTTTCCCCAGCGATTAAGTAAACCGGGTTTTTTCAACTATAATTCTAAATTTTATTCGCGCGAATTACCGCGAATAAAATCTTGGCGTTTTTCTCGAAAGAGGCACGTGTAAATTGACCGGATAATTTTTCATAAAGAAAAAAAAGAAGAAAACGATGTGTGCGGCAAAAAAAGAGTTTTCTGTATGAAATAACGCTAACTATGAAATATACAGACGTGACTTTGTCGAATAACCGCCGATCCTTGAAGGTCCCGAGGTCGATTCTTGAAAAACTCTCGTCGCCGAAGCTATTTTCGTCGCGAACACACGAATGCGAAAATGGACCGCCAGCCGTCTCGACGGTAGAGAAACGGCTGCAGTGAAACGCAGTGAGAACGTGGCGAAACGTTACGACCGCGTCACGTTGCGTATCATTAAACAAGGCCAAATGAAGCGCCACTCACGCTCGCGCGAGCCTAACGCACGCGACATGGATAGTGTTGCGTGCACGTGCATCCTCGTAAACATTACCGCGGGACGCCGCGCGCAGTCTGCGTCCGAGGTAAAACGAGTAGCACCGAATCAATTGTCAGTAAAGTGATTTACGGTCGTCGCAGTCGCGTCGATCAATTTGCCGCTCGATGCGAGCCACCGCCGCCGCGCGGCGTCCGTATACGCGCGTGTTTCAGCGTGACTTTCGACCCCTGACCGGCGCGGCGGTACACCGCTCAAAAACAAATTGAGAAATCCGTGGCCGAATGCCGGATGCGAAGAGGAGATTTTTCCCCCTGCGATTTATTCCCGTGATCGATCCGGGGCAAGAGAAGAGGAGAGACCGTCGCGCGGAATTCCGTGCTCTTCGTGGGCGCGCTCGCGATAAAAGCTGCGAGGGACCGCTAATTACAGAGACCGGCAATTACGGTTTTGGAGAACGCTGATTCGTTCTGTTCGCACGTAGGAAAATCGAGAGGACTAGCTGGAAACTTCGATGATTTTCAGCATTGCACGACACTCCGATCGATAAAAGATATCGCGCGAGATTGTGTAACAATCCAAGTCGATGTTTTAGTCTTACTTTAAATCTAATTTAGTTCTACTTTAAATGTTCAAAAGCCTTCTATTGTACTCCTTTGACTACAAATGAAGTGGTTATTTGCCGTTTTCTCCACTTAAGGACTTAATGTAGAACTGAAACTTAGACTCTGGATGACTAAATTACCTTCGCAGCGCTATTTATTGCGCCCCTTTGATGCTACAAGTGGCCGTTTATTTCCATTTTCTCCACTTGAAGGCTTAATGTAGAATTTAAAATCTCGACTCGGGAAGTAGACTCGAGCAGACTTCTTTTTTTTTTTTTTTTTGATCGCGGAAACAGAAAGGAATTGACGAGCTCGAAAGGGGACTTTTCTCGCGCTACGCTATACGTCACGGCGCACTTAACCCTTTTCCAAGTTATTACGCGAATTTTTTGTCCCACCACATAGACAACGAGCATCGAATTAAGGAAAGCAATTACAGATAATGGTCCCGGCGGCACCTAGCGCGCACCGGTACTGCGAAGGAGTCGGGGTGGAAAAGAGAGTAAAGCGGAACTGCAAAGGACAGGGAGGGAAAGGAAAGCCTATCTAAGAGAGATACGAATGTACAGGGTGGTCATTAAGCAGCTGCAGCTTTCCCCCTCTCTCTCTCTCTCTCTCTCTCTCTCCTCGCTGTTGTAATATCTCCCTTGCGTTCTCGTTCTCGCTCACGACCTCGTTCCTCTCTGACTTCCTTTTTTCTCCCCCTCACTCTCTCCCACTCTATTCCCCCCCTCTGTCTGCCTCTCTTTCCCTTATTCGCTTCCTCTCACCCCTTCTTTTTGGACATTAAGCCGTTGCGCGTGCGGTAATTTTCCCGGGGTCATTTTTGCCGCTCTTCTTGCCCGATCGTTAACTTCACTTACCTCTGTTTACCCCCGTCGTCATTTTTCTTAGCCTCTCTCCTTCCTCTCTCTTCCTCGTTCTTCGCTCCTTCATCGGCCCGTTCGTTTCATATTTTCGTCCGGTTTCCCGCTCTTCCTCGTTTCTACGAGCTGCCCCGTCAGACGTCGGAGTTCCGTCTTTACGCGCGCGCGCGCGCTACGCTTTCCCTTCCATTTCCGTTTTTATCGCGTAACCTCGCCCGGTTATTTCGCGTCCCCGACGAGGCGGACGCCTTTTTTCACGGTCCAGCGGGGAAGAATAATTAGCGCCGCTGTCCATCTCGTCCCGCGTTTCCACTCTTCACGAAGACATTTTCTCCTGTCTGCTCGTCCGCCGGCGAGAATAGTCCGTAGACCTTTTGTCGTCGCGAGGCGTCCGACGATCACTGGCCGCACTGTGGAAAAGACCGTGTCCCGGGATTTGGCGTTTCCGGATCCTCCAGACTTCTATACAAAAAACGGAGAGGAAAAACAGAGAGGGAAAGGGAACGAAAGGTTAGACATGACTCGGACATAAAGTAATTACAATTGCGTAGACACAAAGACACGTTACACCGACCGTTGATGAAACCACGTCGCGAGCATTGACCACACTCCGCTCCCTTCTTACGCAAGGCGGAGGATTGATCTCGTGCGGTGGTGGCTCGGATAATTTGGTCGAAACCACCCCGCGGGTATTCGAATTAAAGCGGCTTCAAGCGAGAGGGGCGAGGAATCGGCGGGAGATAATGTCACATCAGATAAAGGATTCCATCGGCGCCGATGGCATGCGGTGCTTCCTGCAATAACTGAGATTAGAGCTCGTCGACTCCGAAAATCTACGGAGTCACCAACGATCGGAGCCGATGAGCATTTGTCCTGGATGAGGCTCTCGAGATCTTCGGGCCGACCCTCGCTACAGCCGGTGTCAAGTTAGCACTTCAGTTTTTGACATCTCAAAACGCACTACAGGGTTTTATTCGCACCCATAATAGTTCTACAGTCCCCGATAGGTTGCAGCAACAGACTACGGAACGTTAAAAACGATTACTAAATGAATGTCTATAGTTGAAGTTGAGGAAGAAGCCGCAGAAAGGGATTCCTAGGTGGAGGGAGGATTCACAATCGTATATTTTATTTTCCTTAACCTTTCGACCGCGCATTATGGGTCAGACAGACCTGGTGAATTGTGTTTGAAGGGTTACAGTGAAACTACTAGAGGGTCGTTCTCTATCTGTCAGATGTGATGCGGATGTGATAAATCGATTAGTGTTTCGAAGCGATCCGAATTTGACGTAGGGTTGGTTAAATCCATAGTGTCAGCGGTCAGTGTATAATTTGACGTTACGAAAGAAATATTTCTTTTTGCTAAAAATTGATATGCGAACATAAGTAAGCACCAAAATAACACATATGTCTAAAGACGTCTTTACGATATTTTAGGACGTCTTAATGTTATCTGGCCATTATGATTACACATATTTTTTTTTAATAATGAATAATAATATTATTATTAGGGTCAGATGGCGTGTAACCTACGCGTCCTGCAAAGAATGGTCCTAAATAATTTTTTTTTTTTTTTAATAATACGTGTTATTATTTTGCAAGCAAAAATAAACTATTTTTGATACTTTCACAGCAATAATATTTTTTTCCCATAAAAACATCTATTTTCGGCATTTTATAAAATTTTTTAAGTGGTCTGTAAAAAAATATGTTTTTCCAACGTACACTAGAATAATATTTTTTTCCTGTTCAAACTATCTTTCGATTTCATCGCTCTGTACAGTTGAAGATCAAATTAATAAAAAAATAAGGAAATTACGATTTTTTAAATACTACCATTTGCGAGAGCATTGCCTAAATTCGAATATTTTCAGTTACTTAAAATTTGATTTGCTGTGAATGCATTAAAGTAGACGACCACTATTCCAGGATTTTGTTAATCTCTTTCC